TAAACACATACGCAAATAATAGTAACTTCCAAGATGTTGATGATCAGTAAGATGTTAACATATGGGAGCATCTTCAAGGTCCTAGCCACCACCAGGGTTGGTTGCCCCTTTTTTCGCTCCACGCCAGTTGGCAGAGCCAGGTCTTGACTGCTTTCCGGAAGGACAAGAGAGTTGGGGCCTGCCATCACCATAAATTATCACTAAGTACATTTCCTGCTGATTTCCTAGCCCAGTGGGTTTAGTGCAAAGTTTTTGTAAAAGTATGCCTGCACTAGCATTTTGTACATAGTTGAAAATGTTTATTCTATTCTCATCTCAGCCCAATATTTCATTTCACATTGTGTTTCTTCCTAAGAAAGTCAGTATTTCATTAAATGTTTGTAGCATAGCATGTACTAACCTCTTGTTTGCCAACTACTCCTCCCATATACAATAGCACAGTAGGATGCATATTTCTGTGTACTTCACTCTATTTTAAAAGTGGACTCAAAATACCAGCATATGATTTCATCAGAGAAGAAATACATAAGAAATATTGCAAAGGATAATACCAGGACTATGAAGAAAAAAGGGGAACGTAGATACTTCACAAAGTGTGTGTGTGTGTGCATGTATTCATGAGTGTATTCTTTGAATGAGTGGGGCATTGTACAATATTTCTCTTACCCACCCTTTATTATGGCAAACTTATAAAGTAGCATATATGAAAGCTGCACTGGGTGGGAATGATAATCAAGAATTTCCTTTTCTTGATTGGGGGAGGGCAATAGGTTTGGGGGTTCACACTACATGTCTTTCTGTCAGTCCCATCTCAGAGTGGAAGTAACATATGAAACAGTTTGAATTGTGGTCAGATACAGTTTCTGGGGGCCAAAAAAGGGAGGTTGCCCATCCCTGAGCTTCAATAAACAAAGAGAGGGCATAAAGATTTTGGGCAGAGAGAAAAAAACCCCTTAAGATTAAGGCTAAGAGCTTCAAGGCTAAGAGGAGTTATAGTATTCTTAGAGTCTCTGCAAATGTCTTTGGCTTAAAGGAGTTGCTGAAATTTTTGTTTAGGGTGCTTTTTTATGTGTGCAATAAATATATTGACCTGAGAGGAAGATTAAGTCTTTACCATTCACTGTTAAACAAGAAGCCTGTCTTGGCTTCACAGAGAATTCAGTAATGAAAACAAATCTTTTTCTCCCCCCCCCTTTTTTTTTTGTGTGGGGGGGTAAGGAATCCTAAATTCAGGGTCATCTTCCTTGATGGTACATATGATGCAGTTTTTAAAATTGTACTGCCTTCAGTGTTATATTCTTAAGGAATTCACACTCAGTCTTCTCTTGCTGTATATGGAAGAGAAGCAGCCTTAAGAATGAAGGCATTCAGGAATCCAATGCATAGTTCTGGTTTTAATTTTTTTGCAGATTGGATACTGTGAAAATATTTAGACTAGAGAAGATGAGCTAAAAGTGTTCCAACCATGTAGACAGATTTGCAAGCCCTGAAAAATGTCACTTGTACAATGAGAGCGTTAAAAGCTTGCAAGAAATCAGACATCAGGAGCTGCAGTGGCTTCCATGCTGCTAAAGGTAATATAAAAAATTACCAAAATTTGATATGAAACCTGAATAAAAGAGGAAAACTGTGCAGGGAATTTGTGTTTTATGGTTGCTCCTTTTTCATCCAGAGACGATCATTGTGAGGGAAATGTTTTTTAAGAGACAATACAGCAACTGCTTGCAGATTTTTAGGCAGCTTTGAGGCCATATTTCTCATCCACTTTTTTAATGAAAAAGCATTTATATTAACTGCTTTTGAAGCAATGCAATTTTAATGTTGTATGTTAATTATTATTATTTGGATACACTTTTCAGAAACTGCCATGGGAAGCCGTATGAAAATATAACAACATATTTTAAACTTCATTTTAAAAGGCAAATTTAGGGCTCCTTTCAATATCAATTCTTCAGTGTGCATGTGGTAAATCTATTCAGCAGTAAGACAAAAGCACCTGTAAAACTTTTGAGATGTGTTTATGTAGGACTTAAGAAGCTAGATATGCGCCTATGTTTCAGCATGAAGCTTTCTAGACAGGCAACAGCAAAGTTTATTATGAAAGGAAAACTACAGTGAATACCATCCATTAAAAGCAGAACCTAAATTAAAATATGTCACAAATTATACGCATAAGCTAATATGATTTTAACTTTAACCTGAAGTGAAAAATGGAGTAGGGCTTTTGAGGATGCTCCTAAAGGCAAATAAGTTCACAACAGGGGATGCTATCATTCAGAAACACTAGTCCCAAATCATAGATAGGTAGGTTGTTTTTATTACTCCTTGTAAATATAATCCTAATCTAGAGTCTATTCAAGATACTTTTTGCATAATAGAACATTAATTGCAATTATTTTAACTTAGGTTCTGTCTTATGTCCCATGAAGTAGAGGATCTGATTTACTATTTTTCTTGTAAACTGAAATAAATAAATATTCAATTTTACCCTACGTTACTATCCAGGTGGCATTCAAGTAGCAATATGGCTCAAAAGTCTGTATTCGGATAGAATACTATAGACTAACAGAACTTGAAGTATGGAAAATACTGATCCTGACCCCTGCAATATATTTTAATTTAATTTTTTCAACTTGCAGTGTTCCATTTCCTAGAATCCATAAATGTTTTCATTATTAGCAACCTGATCTGTATGAGGAACAAAATAACCATTATGTATATTGCAGCAGACTCCAAGTATAATAAGAACAGAAGAGAATCTGCATGATTTTCTGATGAACCTGTCTAAAATTATATGTGAGGAATCTTAGCCTGATTTAGCATATTTTAGCTCAGTTCCCAATTCTCCAGATATGTTGGATACATCATCTTTGAGGAAATAGGAGTTGTAGTCCAAAACCTCTGAAACACCAGATTTGGGGAAAACTGGTTTAGCATAATATAGATAAACTGGCTTGTAGTTGATCTAAAAGTATAGGAGGCTTCACCCCCAAAAAGTAGGGGTAATTTATCTGGCCTTTTTAAGATTACTTGCAGTTGTTATGAAAAATGTGGGGGAGATGAGAAAACTTGGTGTGGTGGTTTGGTATTTAAGTTTGATTTGTGGATGAAATAGCAGTACTGCATTTCATCATTAAAAAGTTTACTAGATAGCAACTTTTACAGATGCTGATATCTAATGTCATATCAGCTGGAGAATCAATTTCTTTCAAGACTTGTTTTAGAAAAACATTGTTTCAATGTGAAAATTTACACTTTTACCTTTAATTTTTGATTTTTTATAGAACATGACTGAAAAACTGAAGGATTGCTTGGGAGAAATGGTAACTATCAAGACGGAACCCTGTTCTCCATGCCAGGAAGAAGAATATGGACAACTTGGGTAAGAGCCTTTGGGTTTCTAATTTGCACTATCAACATAGGAATCCATGCAAACTGCAAAGGCAAAAAAAAGGATGAAATGTGCATCATGATGTCACAGTGCAAACTTTGGCCTTTCATATTTGTGTCCCAGTATCACACACAAGTAGTTCCCAACATTGGACACTAGTATGTAAATCACATAGCTTGCATCATGACACTTATTTATTTGTTGGATTTTTATCCCACCTTAACTTTTGGTCCACTCAAGGCAACATACACATAATGCTTCTGCCTTCTACGTTCCCCACAATAGCAACCCGGTGAGGTATGCTTCCCGCTTCTGCCCTTGGATACCTATGACTCTCAGCAAATGTTTTCCAGTATCAGTTCATCATCCACAGGTTTCCTTTGTGCTTTAGAAACTTCTGGGAATATTTCTGACTATACTTTTCGGTTATAAGGCTCTCCAATAGCTTTTTGGCTGCGGATAGATTTCTAGATTGTGGAGTTCAACTCTCAGAATAGAACTCATGCTGAGGGAGGAATCATTGCTATTTTTTTCTTAAGAATTGTTTTAGCTTCCTGGGGTTTCCTCAGGGTACCATGAAAAAAAACACTGCATTACAATTACATGTGCTAACTCATAAGTAATTTCTATACACCCAAATTGATATAGAATTGCAAAATAAGTGCCTGCTGTCCCATCTATAGGTGAAAAGCTTTGGAATAAACTGATAGAAGCAATAGATAGATAGATAGATTTAAGACTGTGAACATAAAGCAGTCATTGCATCCTGTCTTTTGTCTGATTAGTCCTATTCAAAACTACAAAAGCACTGAATGTTATTGTAGTTTTCCATATCTGTGAAAGCATTTTGGGACATATGTTCAAGCTGCCTAAGTTGTTAAAAGTTTTTATGAGATTGTGAGTGATTTGAAAACATTTCCTGTTTGTTTGTTTTTTCCTGTGACTTGATCAGCATCTTGTACCAAAACTATTTACTTCTCCCCATCCTATTATGGCAACTTGGGTTAAGGGGAATAATATATCTTCTTGTACAGAGAAAGAATAGAACACCTGTTCATAGCAAATTGAGTGGAAGATGTGAATGAGACAAAGGCTTCTTTGTATTTCTGAAAAAGAGGGATTCAGTATGGGACAGAGTTGGGAAGAAGGCCTGATGACTGAATGGCTGATGGCTTGGTTCATAGTTCGATACTAAATCATGGTGTTTGGTGAGGCTGTCTATGGTTACATGACTATAACTGAATAGGGCAGCAAAGCCCCCTTCCTAGATAGCCTTCTTTCCTTTCCCTTATTGTGAAATAGGTGTATATTCCACACTATCAGAAGTTGCCCACCCATGCTGTAGGGGATTAAAATAGCAGGACAGAATAACATTTGTAGGACAATAGGCAAACATGTTTATTGGAGTTGAGGTATGTTTGTCACTTAAGGAGCAGAAGGGAAGCAGAGGGGACAAGCCACCTGAAAATAGTTGAATGTACTAGAGTTCTGGCACCAGGTCTACAAATTTCCCTGAGATCATTCATTTTAGCTTTGAAATAATTCCTCAAAAGATACACACAGACTAATGGATTTAACAGCCTACTGAAGAGAATTCTAGGAAGCAAGATTTCAAAAATACTTGGAAATAGTTACTGACTAAATTGATGGAAGAATTAGAAGCCAAGAAGCAGGAACTTAATTTTAGTCTCAAAGTTAAAGCAACAGCATATAGTTCTAATTTATCTTTCTTCATTTTCCATAGCAGAATATCACACACATATGTTCTCTTGTTTTGTCAGTTCTCAGAAGGTTGACTCTCAGTCTGTGGATGTGGAACCTAAAAAGCTAAAAGGAAAGCAGGATTTGATCATGTCCAAAAGTTTTCAGCAAGTGGATTTTTGGTGTAAGTATCTTACTGATGATCTAACCATTCTAGTATTAAACCTTTAGAATGGAAAAGGTAGCCAGTAGGAAGGTCACAGTTGCTATCTGCATAGCAATAGTAAAGCTAAGGTAGGATTGTGCACCATTTTGTCCATATTGCTCCTCTTAGGACTCCACAATTAAATGTTAAAAAACTAAAAATCTTCCAAGGTTGCCAAACTTCATAAGATGTTGACCTTCTCACTTGAAATTATGATTTTTAAAGCAAATATTCAGAATCCTCATGATACTTGATAAACTTGGAAGATTTTGGCCATTTTAAAATTAATTTTTAAATATTTATTTGGTGCCACAATATTGTGAGAAATTATATGTTGGCACCAGCACCTGAAAAGGTTTATAATCCCCCAGCTAAAAAATTCCATCTTTTTGACTATTAAATAATATAGCTTGTATCCAAGTGGCAATTTGAGGCATATTCAACAGCATGCCTTAAATCCATACGTCAGCTAAGATGTAAGAAAATGTAAAGGGCAGAATTTTCAAAATGGAGGATCAGCAAGGCTACTTATGAACGGTCTATGTCTGTCATAAATGTAGATTCGAGAGGAAACAGTCCAGCTGGCCTAAACTCTGGTTTCTCTAACAGATTTTGTACTTTAATACTCAGATTGGTATTGTCCACTGGAGAAGTACTTTCTGCTACATGTAATGCTGGCTGACATGATTTTTTTTTTTAAGTTTAATCTTTCCAGAACAGAAGAGACCTGTCATTGAAGAGCTAATTTTATTTTTTATCAGAAGGGACATAATCAAATAATATAGCTTGTTTTTATTTAAATTTGCAGAATTTTCACCCTAGCCCCTCATATGGTTTCTCTCAAAAATTACAATAGCTCCATGGTAAGGATGCAGCAAAATATTAAATAGTATTTACCAGAAAACTTTTGTGGGCAAGCAGTTATTTCAGATTAGTAGGTTGGAGCATGGGAGACAAGCTGAATGTCTATAGAGAAAGCTAAAAGCAACCAAAAAAAGGGGGGGGGGAACCTCCTAGGGTTGCTTGTCAATCTGACAGTATATGTGGGAACAGCTGTTTTGGGTTTGTTCATGCCCAAAATGAAAGATACACATTTGGGTATTTGGGTCCATGTGTGGAACAAACAACATTGTTTTGTTCTGGGAAAAAGTGATTTTAGGGGAGGAAACTGGGAAAATGCCAAGGACATGGAGAATTGATGGTAGACGACCTGTTGCCCTGGGCAATTAGTGGTAGCTGAGGGAGGTAGAGAAGGTGCTTTGGGCAGAAGGATGGACAGGCTAGTGGGATGTTCTGTTCTGGGAGCTGCTGAGGGAAGGAGGGAGGACAGAGGATGATACAGACCAGACTTTTTTTCCTGGCTCACCCAGATTTTATTTAATCTAAAACTTGGAACAACCAACACATTTTAGGTTTACTTCTGCCTGGCCTGGAATGATTTGGCAGAATCTGCAGAATGCAATGGTTTTGCCCTGGTTTGAAACAAAACATTTTCTCCATTTTGTGCCACATAGTTATACTGTATACCCAAAGCATACAGTAAACAACTTTCTTTGAAAGACAAACATTTTTTTAGTGTATGATCTCCAGCTTGTCTGAGATTCTATTTCTGGCTCTGGCAATATCTATAAAATTTCCCACATGGGAAACTCTAACTGTATGGAAAACCAGTGGCTTGCTCTCTTTTCTTGCCTATGAGTTCTGGGCAGTTACAGGATCATATTAACCCTTTAATAACTGTTTTGTAGTGAGAATTGCCATACTAAGGATTTTAAAATAAATGTCTATGTGATTCCCCCACTGAAAGCAGAAAGAGGTAGGGAATCTTTACCTCACCTGTGGGCAAGAAGTGGGGTTCCAATTCAGAAAGCATTAAATCTAATCTCTTCATGTATATAAATTCAAATTTAATTCAGATTTAAACAAAACTTTGTATTGTTTTCAAGAGAATATACAATGAAAATTACATTGATTCTTCCCGTAGTATTGCTTTGAACCCTTGTTTTGGTTCCAATAGTTATAATCAATGCCACTCTTCTTAGTAATGATTTTCACAGGGCTGACCTTGCCACAATTGCTGCCTCTTTATGTATATATGTATGTTATCTCCAATTTTATATTAACAACCTTATGAGGTTATAATAGGATGAGAGATAATGATGGCTCAGAGCAGCCTGGTATTCTACAGACATACCATACCAGAGTCACTTTGTGTGAGATGGGTGGCTATATAAATGTGATTGATAAATAAATAAATAAATAAATACCAGAAACACTTTTTGCATCCTCATAAAAGAGATTTTAAAAAATCAGTCCAGGTAGCCTTGGAGCTATTGAAAAAGCTCAGCAAATTATGAAAGGAATAACTGTACTAATGTCTTAATTGCAAACCCTGGCCTGAGACTTAATTATGAGAAAGAGCTACTTCACACACATGGACATTCATTTACATGTTATGAAGTCCTGTTAGGACTAATTCATATGTGTTTCCATCTTTAAAAAAAATTAAAGAATGCTCCTTGTGCCTGGAATAATCCCTGGTTCAGAGAGCCTCCCCAGTAGCTGCGGTTCACATTTTCCTGCCTTAACTCATGGGAAGTAGAGATGGTGCAGCTTGCTTTCTCAGCAGTTCCTTTGTATTGGCTGTGGATTAAAGGTGACATATGCAGGGGAACACAACGTAGTTCAGTAGTTATGGCAAACTGTAGTTGTTTGCTCCTGCTTTAGGGAATGGTTGGATTCAATGATACTTGATTCTTTTAGGCAAGATTTTGTGAATTATGCCTTCATTCTGGAAGCAAGCATTCGCTTTCCTATAGCAGTGAGCTGAAATCCTTGGCAAATGCATAACCTGTGACTTAGAAAGATACAGCTTTGTGACTGGGAATTGCTTTTTAATAAAAAGAGTCCCTTAGATATTTTTGCAAATTTGTTTACAACTTCATGGGAGTTGTAACTCATCAGCAAGTTTTGATTAGAAAATTAAATTTGTATTAAAAAAAAAATTACTGGCATCCATATCAAGATTCAGAGGGCTCGACTCATTCTTGTTATTTCCTCTTTCTACAGTTTGTGAGTCGTGCCAGGAGTACTTTGTAGATGAATGTCCAAATCATGGCCCACCAATGTTTGTGTCTGATGCTCCAATACCCATTGGCATCCCTGACCGAGCTGCGCTCACTATCCCTCCTGGCATGGAAGTGGTCAAAGAGCCAAATGGGGAGAGGGATGTGCGCTGTGTAAATGAAGTTATCCCCAAAGGTCGCATCTTTGGACCATATGAAGGGAAGCTGTCCAGTCAGGACAAGTCGGCAGGATTTTTCTCTTGGCTGGTGAGTATTCTCAGCTGGGTGATTCTTTAAATAATCAATGAGATTAATGTCTGGACATTTTTGCTTAAAAATGAGTGCCTCTGCATTAGCTATAAAAGGAATATGTGTAATTAAGAAATTCCTCTTACAGCTAATCTTCAGGCAAAGGTTAAAGTATAAACAACAAAGGAAAACTTGGAGGCCAGGACAAGATTTTTATACAAGAAAACATAGTTCTGCAGGCTACTGTACAGCTATCTTCCTGATGGATTTTCTTGGTCAGCTCCAAGAAATAAATAGGAGGTATTGCTCTAAGAATGAAAAATTAAATGATTACATTTCCTTATTCTGCATGGTCCTGACTTTGTGGTAAATTTATGTTTTTTTTTTCTTTTTGCAGATTGTTGATAAGAACAACCACTACAAATCCATAGATGGAACAGATGAGACTACATCAAACTGGATGAGGTGAGTCTGTTTCCTATGTATAATTTCCTTCTGCATTTTTATTTATGTCTGTAAAGAGAAAGAATACATACCCCTGTTTTCATTTTTTGAAAATGACTGTCAATATGGTTTGATTTTTAACTTCATTGTTTAAATATTCTTGCAGATATTCTGTTTATCCTCTAAACAGAGAATCCTAAAACAGGATTTTATAGGGGACAAAGAGAGAGCTTGATCATCACAGTTGTTTAGAAGTGATTTCTGTATTTTGCTTATGTTTACCTTTCATGTGTATCAAAATAACTTTAAAAAGTATGTCTATAATAGATCAGAACAGAAATAGAAAATTCCTGTCATAGGAAATTTGCTTGGTCCTTTTTGTTAGAATTATTGGCTATTTTGTTTTTGTTTTTAATGGCACAGCAGGACAAGTAGAGCACATATGTCATTTCTGCAAAATAAGACACATCCACAAATTTCAGTTAGATGATTCTCTTATTACCTAACATTGATTTTTACAAAAATTTCCATCTATTACTACTTTACATAAATTATTTCACACCTTTGCTCATGAAGAACAGAACAAATTGGTCAGTAATGTGCTGCTGCTGTTTTGTTCCCTAAATCAGTCTTGATATATGCCTAATGTTGTGTTTGAGCCTGTGTGTGAACTTGTGCTATAGATTATTTCAAATGGTACATAGGTCATAGCAAAATTCAAAACACTTTGAAGATATTGTACTAAGAATGACCTTTTAAATAATTTAACAATGCTGTGGATAAAAATTATGGTATCTATATCACAAGAGTGGGGAAACTTTGACTTACAACTCCCAGCTGCCTCTGTTAGGAGGGCACACTATATACCATAAACATATAGATTCATTCCTTGAAGATATATTGTAACAGATGAAATGGCATACTAGTACCAGATATCAGATAACACTGGTTATTTTTATACCAGTCAAAACATTGCCTTCTATATGGAAATTTACAATATTATTTAGATTTACTTGAAAGGAAGTCAGATTGAACTTGGTGTGATTTATTTCTGAGCAAACATGCCTGCATATAGTAGGAGTGCAAATATAATAGCAATAAAGATGGAATATAGAAGAAACTAGGTAGCCAATCAAAAGTATTTATCAAATTTAAAAAAAAAAACAGGCTATACATATGAGTTCTTTTTGTTTTCTTTGTATCGTGTTTAGAAATGTGACTTTATTGCTCCATAGATGAATGGAGAATGAGTTTAGGAATAATTTATTTAGATGATTTCCTTGAGAATGTTACAAAATAATCCTGTCAGGATGTTTTTAACTTGTTCACATATTTGCAGAAAAGATGAAAGCAAACATGTATATTTATATGTATATTGATATTAGGGCTTACCTGTGAGACTTGTAACTGCTGTTGTATGTTCCAACCAGTTGGACATACCCTGTACCAGCATTTTTCATACCAGTTTTCTTCCAGTTTTCACTTCAGTCTTCACATATAATCAGTGTTCTTTGGCCACTAATAATAATTAGCCTTCATTGACTTAGTGGCTATATTTTCCTGTCTTTCCACAGTGTCAAAATAAATGTCCAGTTGAATAGCCTGGCTCCTACAGAACATAGTAGAAATGATGGAGCCATTTGTAGGTTACCCTCTCAAATCTTGAAAACTATCTTGGGTTCTGTTAATACCACGCAGTGACTTTTTGGTATAATATTAATTGAAGTTTGCAGTAAAATGGGAAACGGTTTTATATATCTTCTTAATTTGCTGCCTCTCTTTTTTTTTTTCAAGTATCTTTAAGTTGTAATAGGCTGGTACAGCATTGTTCCTTGTTTTCTAAAAATACTTGTGTCATTTTATAAAAAATAGATACCATGACAGGGGAAGGAAGATATTTTTAAACTGCAATGTTAACTAGGGAAATTAGCTACTAGTAAAGGGAAATGTGGGTTACCTTCTCCGATTGGAATACTGTAACCAGGCAAAACTGATGATTCTGACAGGAACTTAAACTTAAAAGGGTACTGTTTTTTTAAAATATTGCTTGGATTTGAAACTGTTATGCTAAAACAGTTTCTTTTATGGCTTATGCTGTCTTGGAGTGCTCAAAGTATTCAAAAGCACAGATTAAGTAGAAAAGGTATGGCTTCTTTCCTTTCTTACATTTTCTTTTGCTAAATTAAAATTTGAAACATTAGGATGTATATACTGAGCTTCACAGTCTTTTTGATGTTAGGCACTCCAGGTACTGCAGAAATGACAGTAAAATTGATGAGTCCTACCTCTTGGCTGTTGCAATTTTAGTCAAATTAGAAGTGCCCTGAACCTTCTAAAATAAGTTCCTGAAGAAGTTATTACAAAAGTGTAATTTATTTCTGAGTAAATTAACTTAGGTTTGCATTGAAAGTCTGGGATGATATAAAAGAAATGGTTACAGTGAATGTTAAATGCAACAGAAAATTTTGGTCAAATACAATATGGTACATTCCTAATTATTCCGCGGCTTTTAGAGCATACTAAATACTGATCATATAACTTAAGACACATGGCATTTATCATGGGATAAGTGTATTCTGTGCTAGTTCATCTGCTTATTTGTGGGGAATGTTTATATATTATTAAAACATTCTACCTGTCACATTTTGTAACTATGCAACATTGCATTCTTCATAAAAGTTGAAAGAGTCTTTTCTTGCTAAGTATTGGCCGTGGACATGTGATAAACATGGTTGGGACAGGAAGACTTTTTAACAAACTACTATATATGTTTGTGAGTTATAGGATACTTGCTAAATTTGTCCATTATGAAGTGGCAGTCATAGTACATGAAAGATAGAAAATTTGGATGAAATTTATATATGGGATTACAAAACACTGTGGAAAATAGTTGTGTGAATACTTCTTGCAGATAATTTCACAAAGTTCTCAGATTTTCCTCTTCTCTCCCAAGCAAACTTGTAAATTTTGAAGTAGCCATTGTTCTTCTTAGTATCTCAGTTCTCTTTTGTCTGTTAAAATCTACTTGCAATATCAGGTGAGCTTTAATTAACCTATGTAATAGAAACAGTATCCATTCTTTTCCATGAAAGAAGCAAACATTGTTTAATCAATGAGAACAACAGTTGCTAATCTTGTACAATTTTCAGTGTGAAAAATTCAGAATACCTTGCTGATTTTATTTATTTATTTGGTATTATGTATTTAATCCATGAGTCACTGCCCTGTGGTAAATATCTTCAGGGCCCATTTTTACATGAATCAGTCCATGTAATTTTAAATCCCTAGAATTACTTCTTGTATCAGAATATTTGGTATTTGTTTGTTTTGTTTCTGGCTAAAAATGACTAAATTCCTCCAAGAATGAACAAAGCTTCCAAATACCTGTTCATTTAAGTGCAAAGATTACACAAAATATGGTAGAGGTGCATGTGAAACTTCGTTCCCCACCAATGTAGAGGACTGCTGTTTTACAAACAAAATATCTTCTACTTTCTATACTTGTGTAAAAGTGAAAGGCATTATCTTGAGAGGAAGCTCATCAAGCTGAAAATTAATGTACAGTCGGTCATGTTTCTTGTTTTTAGTAGTGTGGGTACATCACATTGATTTCCTTTTACCATTTATGCTTTGTGGGATATTGAACCCAAGGAACATGACTGAACGAAAGAGGAAGCCCAAGTTCTCCAGGGAAGAACTGGACATTCTGGTCACTGAAGTGACTCGGAACGAAGCCAGGCTGTTTGGAAGGGAGACAATACGTCTATCCCATGCAGACAGGGACAAGATCTGGGAAGTTATAGCCAGGAAAATCACATCAGTGAGCCATGTCCCCAGGTCTGTAAAAGATATTAAGCACAGATGGGACGACATGAAAAGAAGGACCAAAGACAAACTGGCGTTCATGCGGAGGTCCATCTCCAGTCCCAGCAGCCCGGGGAGGCCCTCGGCCATTGTCCTGACCGCCCACGAGAGAGCCATCGAGTCGACGCTGCATTCGTCACACCAGATGCACGGCTTCCGGAGAGCGGATCTGGACGTGGTTGACAGCCCATCAACCAGTTGTAAGTATGATCTCTTGTCTGTCCTCTGCTGCACAGCTTGGTTCTGACAAAGAAGTGTATTATACAAAAGATCTTGCTTCCCTTCTAGGTGAAACCAACCTTCTAATTCATGTTTTTTGAGGCATTTATTTTTACTTATTTATTTATATATCACATTTATATAGCTGCCCATCTCACACAAAGTGACTCTGGGTGGCTGTAGTTCCCCTTCTGGTACTTTCTTCATTATTGATTCATGAAGCTGTATCTTGAATGAACTGATATGGGCTGTGAACCTTATTTTTCAGGTTAGCATAAAGGATAGAAAATGTGATACTGCCCCATCTATAGGATGACATGTATGATATATAGCACATGCATCCATGCAGCAAAGGAGAGAAGGAATCAAAAACGTGAATCATGTTGTCATCGTTAATAAATTCCATATAAATACAGGAAATTCTCATTATTCATGGATTGCATATATACGTATTTGCTTACTCACAAAAATTGCAAAATCAATACTCATGGAGCGTATTTGCAGACACACACAGCGGCAAAACATTTGAATCACCCAATATGCACATTCCCAACTCTAGTTTCAGCATTTGCTAATTCTGTATTTGCGGCAATTGTACAGAATGTAACTATTGCAGATAATGAGAATTGCCTGTAAATTTCCTTCATAGATGTAGAAATAGCCTAAAGCAGGCTGATAGTGTACCAAAAAGCGCCATATGAGTTGATCATTTGCATATAATCCATATTGGTGTTATCCTTATTTCCATGACCTTTTCTGACATTGAGCCCATACTGTGCAGGTTAATGTACTCAGCTTGCAGATATCTGTTATCCCTGCATCTGCTATTCTCCCTTCCCATCAAGAATTTCAGCATTTATTCATATGTGGATGTGCCCTGGTTTATACATATTCAAAATGGGATTTTGCTACTCAGCATATCTTATCTGGTATTTGTGATATTCAGGACAAGCATCATAAATATATAGCTATTTTCATTGGTCTTGTGGATACAGATGATAATAATAGACCAAATGTAATGAAAATTCCAGAAACAATTGCCGTACTATCAGTATGTTCTTTCATAGTTCTTACTGATGCAAGAGGATACACTGAGATCTGTGATTTGAAAACCATAAGTTAATAAGGAGGATGGCATTGCAATAAGATTAAGGAAGAAGAGATTATGCCCCACCAGCCTGTGTTTAGATCTCAACTGGCAATTTTAGGTACAATTCTATAGGTACAATTCTATATTACTAGGCAATAGTTGACTAAAACTATTACTATGAACAATCCAAAAAGTTTATTAAGTTCCTCTTTGAAGGCTTTTTAAAAGTTATGTACTAGTATTGAATTTGCTCTTACTTCATAGAATCATAGAATCCTAGGTTTGGAAGAGACCTTGGAGGTCTTCTAGTCTAACCCCTGCCCAAGGCAGGAGTCCTCATACCATCTTGGACAAATGGTTGTCCAATCTTTTCTTGAAAACCTCCAGTGATGGAGCACCCACAACTCTGGGAGTCAAGCTAATCATTTGATAGAAAGCAGGACACAAAATATTCCAGTTTATGGTGGTAAAGCCTCTTTACTAAGGAAGGCGGAATGGGGGTATGCATGTAGTTGGTATAGCCATGCTTGAACTACTTTTTCTTCCATGCATTGTACAGTGGTGTATGGCACACTAAGGAGCTGCCTTGTTATTATTGATTCAAACATTGGTTCAGGCCTGTCTGCTGCAGCAGTTGGAGGTTCCCTAACATCTCAGTCAGTGATCTCTTTTTGCTTTACTACTGCAATATCTGGGACTTCCTAGCCGAGCTGTGCCTGAGCTCTGCTGCCTGCGCTCTGCTGCTGAGCTGTAGCTTGGTTTGAGAACCCTTAAAATCGCTGTCCAAGATTGGTCAAGGATGCAAATCTCTCCATCACAAAGGCATACAGACAGGAAATGATTCCACACAGTTACTGCTACTTTTACTGACCTCATTAGAACAGTAAGTTAATACTTGCTTCATTTCTATGTATGCTATGGGGAAGTCAGTCTTCTCTGTAGAGGTTCACTATAGGTCATGTATCATTTTGGGTTTTGTTGATACTTTTTACCCCAGTAAGTAATTATTACTTGCATTTTTCTTGGCAAAATTTCAGTAGTGGTTTGCCATTGCCTCTTTCCTAGGGCGGAGAGAGAGTGACTGGCCCAAGGTCATCCAATTGGCTTTGTGCCCAAGCCAGGACTAGAACTCATGGACTCTCAGTTTCTAGTCTGATGCCTTAACCACTGCACCAAACTGGCTTTCTGTATAATTTAGTGATTACAAAATACTGTGTGCAAATTAAAAAGTCATTACAGTCTAATAGAGTGATCTGCAAATGGGCACATTATTAAACTATATCAGGAGAGATCACTGCGATAGAGTATTTTTTGTTTTTAGCTTTCATAATCTGGCTCAGTGAAATCTGGTGCTCTGCTCTATTATTATGTCATCTGTTCAACCAAATTGGTTCTTTCATGTGTTTTTAAAACAGATATTGTATTACACAAGAAATTATTTAAATACATTTCTCAATAGTATAGGAACACTCTTAGTTTTCACTGAATCCCAAATTTAAGTTTTGGCCTCTTCTGAACTTCTTGAAGTAGAACTTGTCAATGGAAAGCCTTCGTGCAAATAATCTGGTGTCTTCTTCTTTTTTTTTCTGTTTCTGTTTCAAGCTGATGAAGGAGAAGAAGTGGCAGGCCCCTCACAGCAACATCACTTTTCATCACAGAGGGGTTCTGAAGAAACTGATCATCTCTCCGTGCCATCTTTCCTTCATACTTCATCTTTGTCAGATCATTCAAATATTCTAAGCCAAAGGGAAGAAATAATGCACCCAAACTCTTGTCCTGAGTCTTCCACTAGGCCCCCTCAACCTCATGTCCAAAATCCACCCATTTCTGGCTTTGACCATCAGCTCTTTGATTCCCACATTCAACAGACTGAACTATTCAGACAATTCTGTCAAGAGCTGGTGACAATCCATAGAGATGTGGCAAACAACATGCATGCAATTAGCCAGAGGATGTCTGACCTGAGTGGACAAATCACCCAAATGTGCCAGACTTTAATTAAAATCAAAGATGAGCTTCAAACTTTGAACAAAGGTCAGATCTCTAATGCTAGCCAGGAGATAGACATGCAGAGAGTTAGATCAAAGAGCCCCTTTGAAGCAAAAGCAGACTTTAGCCAAAATCAGCCCAAAGAGACTCCTGTTACTCGGATTACTAGGTCACGGAAGAGAAAGCACTATTTTTAGCTTTCCTAAATATTATATAAAAAAGAGCAGCTGATGTTGGCTTAACCAGTGTTTCTTTGCATAAACATTGGGGAAAGTTAATGAAAAATTTCCCTTAAAAGTAATATAAATTATAGCAACTTACCAGTAAGCTTTGCTTGATGTACTTGGAAACAGTACCTGTCTTGTAAAACAATGCAACAGAGGGTATGTAACCCTCTTGAAGAAAAAGATATGATATAAGGGTCATAAATACCTTAATGATCTACAAAGTCAGGGTTCATATAGATTTGATCCTGACAACCTTTTATGCTCAGGTAACATTCTTCTGGTAATGTTATTAGATATTTAGGTTTAGGTAAATATATTATTATGGTCCATGGAAATGCCTACTTTTCTTCTTTGTCTTTGTTCTACTGTTGCATGTGGCACTATATAGACATCAAGAAGGATCTAAGATTGGAATGGGCAACCCCATTTGTGGCCTTCACAGTTGATCTGAAATTTTTGGATCTTTTCTATGTTTTTGGGAATTTGAAGGAAGTAAGCTTAAGGAGTTTACAAATTAGGTGTTTTAAATCTTGCATATGCATAAGGCGCCTTTGCATCCCTTAATCTTGTGCCCCCAAAATAATTTTGTTTGGGGCAGTTTAATGGGTAAAATAAATATTTTATTAGTGCAAGGTTTAAAGCACTCATTTCAATCTTACCTACCTTCCCAACTTCTTCGTCCCTGAAAGACTTGGAAGGGTTGGTCTTGCCCGCTCTAGGATGGTGTCATAAACCTGGCCCTGAGGCAGGGTAGAAAGTCATGGGGCAGCTCCCAGACTGAAAAAGTTGTTCTAGGAGAACTGAAACTCACTGTACAAAATCTTCAGGTTTTTTTGGCCACTGTGAGGAACAGATTGTTAGGCTGGATAATCTTTTGGTCTCATGTAACAGTCCCATGCCTACTTTTTTGGCTTAGTTACTAACCACTGATGTTTGGGAATGGGATGTTAAATGAGAATAGATATCAAGAAAAGGAGGAACCTGCAGTAACGTAGGCAGTATTCCTCTATTTCCAATGCCTGTAATTAGTCATACAATATATTATTTTTCATCACTAATGTCATGTTAAAGTGACGACAGCTATTTTAACTAATAATGACTACATTGTATAAGATTGCATCTTACAATACTGCACAATATACGAATAAGTTGAGAAGTATAAGTTGCACTGAAATGAAGTGATTAACATGTAAGAAACATGTCTTAAATGAGAGCTACTGTAGACCAGTCTACTGATTTTTTTGTTGGTAGTTCTTCAAGATATAATTAGTGCGATATATTTTATGGCTATTCTGGTCTGTACCATAAACTTGCCTGTGTTGGATGGGGAATGACATTTAAAGCAAGTAATTGAAGCATGCTCAAATGCTAGTTTTGTCACGCCGGTGTAATTATCCTGACTTCATTGGAACTGTTGTTTATACTGTATAATGTAGGTTACAGACTCACAGGAAAGATAATGCACTATTTTAACCTCCTTGTTTTAGCATAGATTTGCTACTTTGTATTTCCTCATGTGGGTTTGCTACTTAACATGATGAAAGGCAAATTGAGGCATAAAGTGTCACATGTTACCCAAAAGATACACGCTAATTCTCCATTAAAAGGTAAATGTAGCTGAACCAAGTCTGATATGATTCAGCTCTGGTTTTGGAAGCAGATGCTTTAATACAGCAATAAATCAGCTTATACTATGTATGCTAAAAATGCATGTGCTCTATACCTTTTGTATATTTGCTTCTCGTCTCCTGTGTGTATAGAGTCCTGCTCATTGCAACTGTCAGATACAAGGAATATTCCTCTGAAAATAAAGCTGCAGTGAATTATTCTTCATATGGCCTTTTTAGCGGTGAGCATGATAAGATGAATTTACTTCATACTGAATTTTTTTAAAGCCTTTTTCAAGAGAAATTGCCTTTCTATAGTGGTGGTGCCTAACTACAGGGAGGAAAAATCTGTGCCAAGACATGGATTGCTTTTTCATGAATTAACAGAATCAAGCATTTGTAAATGTTGGAAAGACTATAGAACCAAATATTGTAATTACAATGTGAAGGAAATAATAATGAGAGTGTGGAAGTTGAATACTCAGAGAATTCTACTGTTGAGTGTTGTTCCCTGGAATGCCATTTAGATTATTACTTTCTTGTAGCAAAGTCCCTTATATTTTGCTTTTATTAACTGTATAAAGTGTCATGACACTTTATTAATAGTACAATATAAATTAAATGAATGGATTAAATCATCTTCAGTCTGTCTGAATGACTCAGTTTGCTTTGCTTTACTATCTCAATTGTTTAATGAAATGATTCTCGTGCAGCTGAGGAATTAGCTTTCAGGATTGCTCATCTTGGAGAAGTGCTGCTGAGAAGCAAGCCATACACAAATCAGTTAGCATTACCAACCACAGCTAACTTTCCTGATAGTTTTAGGGTAATCTTTCCCAAATGATACCCTCTGGATGTGTTTGGACTATAGCAGTCAGAATTTCCAGGTAGGATACCCACAATGAGGTAAGGTTAGTTTAGGTGGGTAAGTGTGGTCCCTGGTGTTCAATAGAATAAGAAGCCAAAAACCAGATATGAGAAATGTGACTCTTGTGTTTTGATCTATAATTTACCTGTGCAAATGAAGATCTCTCTCATGGTATACCATTTGTTGGGGGATTAGCAAAAAAGGAGGCATTCTCTGCTCTGTGAAATGCTTTCTTTTATCCCACAAGGGATGCTTCCTTGTATGTGGCTGTTGAAACCTGGCATGTTTTAAGTGCCCCTGTTTGACTATATTGCTGTGCTTGCCCTGATATTTCTGATGGGAAATTATCTTTATGATTATTTTTGTTAACAATAAAGATATAATATTTAAAACTCAAATTCTTTCATGGGATGCTCTTTTATGTGTTTCTGGAGTTGTGCTCAAGACAACTTCAAGTTCTTTGATGTTTTGTTCTCTATAAGGCACATAGTAGTTTCAGTTTCCGTTTATCCTTTACCTGCAGTATCCGCAGCTAATACATGTCTGGCAAGATATCTCTTTTGCTATAATTTGTTGACAATTAAGATATAGAAGTGTTTGCCCATCAACAATTTGGCAATGAGTTTGGCTTGAAATATTCATAATATGAAAGTTTATGCATATATTTAAAGTATATTTTATGTGTAAAAACATAGATATGCCTATTTCATTGTTATTTTAAAATAAGTTTTAAAATATCCACTTTTCTAAGTTGCATACCTGTAAACTGCCTCATGGTATCAGTGCAATTAGTTCTGTAAAATCTAATTCACAGTTTTCCAACCTAACACCTTCTAGTTGTGTGGGTTACAATGCCTAACATTTTAGTCACAATGGCCTATGACTTGGAATTCATGGAGTTATAATACAACAAAGATGCTAGGATGGAGAAGAGTGGCCTAATAGGAATACTAAGTAACTATATAATGAATTTATCTGTTTGAGATCATCATGCAAATGCAAAATCCTTGTTTCATATCAGAGGCTCTTGGGTTTCTCCCCAGTTTTTGAAATGGTTTGCAGAGCAGTATGAAAGTCCATATATTTGTGCACACACACACACACACACACACACAATACAGAGTGAATAGATCCTTCAGATAAATTACCATAATCTCTCCAGAGCCAACAGAGCATTGTCCACAACTGTGTTACTAGGAGATCTGGAAAAGGAAGTGAATATTCATTTTAGGGATATGTAGAATTGCTCAGTTTAGAATTCATGAAATAGCTTTGGAGAGCTACTTGTTTGATTGATGTTTTCAGATTAATTTGGAAAATGAAACTTTCTTCTTAGAAACCCCTTTTGGATTGGCCAGTTCTTTGTTCTGCTTTTCAGGAAAACATTCTTATTGTATTCTTCCTATTCTTATAACATTGGGAGGGTGGTCAGTGGTAATCCAAATAAAATTTCAGGAGAGATGATTTTGCATCTTCCTGTACATGCTCCAACACAGCCCAGCTTCTGGCCAGGAAAGTAGCTAAGAAGTAGACCTTGCTCTTGACCTAACTGCACTGGCTTGGCTCTGTTTTCTGGAGAAGAGAAATTGTCTCCTGTCTGCTCCATTCTGTTCTGGGTCTGGGGAAGGAAGGAAGGAAGGAAGGAAGGAAGGAAGGAAGGAAGGAAGGAAGGAAGGAAGGAAGGAAGGAAGGACCCCAGGAATGTCAGATATAGCACTTCTCCACTGCAAGAAGCTCCCATCGCCATCTGCCACACACACCTCATGGTTATGCACCCAAGAAATAGGATGCAGAAAGTGGCAGAAAGGCCTACAAAACTAGTGATGCTTTTCCAGTCACAAGATAAGCAGCCCTTGAAAAATTCCAGGCTTAATTTTCCAGCCTCTGTCAAGAGGAGTTTGGCCTCTAGAACATTATTCCCTTCCACCCTGAAATTACAACAGCAATGAAGAATTGCTCCAAACATGAGAAGGAAAAGAAAGGCCATGCATATGAATCAGAAGGCTCATTTAACCCTAATCATGCTCTTTGTGTTCAAGACAAGAAGGACCCACAAACCACCATAGGTCCTCCTCCATGAATCAAGGTCACATGTAAAGGGATTTGCTACATCTTCTAAGCCAAATCCTGGCCAACAAATTGGGCAGCAGGGATTATTTGTGGCATATACTCCCTAGAAAAAAAAATGACAGACTGCTCACCATCAGGGAGGAGAAGACTCCTTCACCTTTAGGAATACAGCATAATTCTCTTTGCTATCCTCTTCATCACAACACCATAGTGCTAGTAGGAAGATGGTGGACTATCACCTCCAGGATGCTAAGGAAAAGAAAACTAGAAAGGAGAAGGGAACTTCCAGCAGCAGCAGAGCTGGGTGTGCAATCAATGAAAGGGAACAGTATGGCAAGTGCAGCA